AAATCCTGGGTAAAAAAAGTTCACAAAAAAAGAGCGTTTCGTACAGCCACGTTACACTGCTGTCAAGTATCCTTCTCAATTAAAGAAAGATGGATGGAGGCAGACCAGAACCTGTTAAGCAGAGTGTTGGAATAAAGAATCAGCTAAAGGCTAATGTGCTAACCTGGTTTGCAGGACAGCGGCCAAAAACCCATAGGTGCCAGTATTAGAAGCGTAGAATAACTTATTCTTTTATTCTTTTGTAATTTCTGCCTTAATGGAAATGTCTAAGGTCTGGGGTAAGGGTAAGTGGAATGAAAGAATTTGATTTTTATTTGCGCTGAAGTGTGTTTAGAAGACACTAATGAAGAGATGGTTAATAGTGAGATGAGGGGAGGTTGAATCAAGGTGTTGAAAGACTGGATCATCCTAAAAGCAGGTAAATAGGGTAACAAAGAAGTGGAAGGAAAAGGCGTTTGTGATAAGAGAAAAAGGATTGATCGAATCTGAAGAGAAGGTCAGATAGTGCCTAATTGACAACTGTATCTCTCTGGTTTCAGTTGGTGACAGAAACCTGTCACAGAAATGGAATAAATCAATAGTAAATTAAGGCTTGAATGTTTGTGTGGTGAAGTAGCTGTTCTCTGTTTAAATAATAGAATTGCTGTACTCAAGAAATCATACGAGCCATGAGCTCTGGTTTTTATAGGTAGACCAAGTGTGACTTTGGCCATTGCCACATCATTGATTTTCTCTACCTTTTTTTCTCCTTCGCTTGCCACCACAGTCTTTTGCCCAGGTTCCTTTAGTATGATGATAAAATGAATCCAATAGTTCCTGCTGGTAAAGTGCCATCTCTTTACTTTCTGTCTTCATTTGCAGTCACAGCGTCTCAAAACGACACATGCACCAGTAGGGTTAAATCTAACAAATGTAACTCATCAGCCAAGGATCACGTTGTTAACCTGCTAGAGGGTGTCTTTCCAGAGAAACTCTGTGGGTGTCTGTGTAGCCTGAAGAACTTCCAGAGTAATTCAGATTTTATTCATAGTTGCACAAGTATCAGAAAATACTTGAGAACCTTAGAGCATGAAAAATGTCTCTCACTGGAAAAAGCCTTTGCCTACTGTTGATTCTTCATTTGTGTCCCAGGCAGTGCAGGAGCTCACACACCAGTGTAACCTTCAAAGTGTTCTTGTATGCAGGGAGATTCACAGGTCTTTTATAAGCCAGAGAAAGCCTGAAGGGCTGTTAGTGTGTACAGTGTCAGGTTTTTAAAACCAGTAGTCAAATGGTTAAAAATTGCCAGGGAACACATACAGTTGGTTTCACTTACACAGTGAAAGCTCAGGATTTAGTAAAAATTTAGACTCTGTGAAAACAGACTTCCTGGTTTAGTGGTTTAATTTACCATAACATTGTCTGCAGTGCAGCAAATACATCCCCAGCTCTGAACTGACATCATCATTTCTCTTACAATAAAATGCAAAAACTGACTTAGATGATTGAGTAGCTTAAATTTATCATTTTCCTTATTATAAGATGTTGCTTACCTAAGATTGTTAATGGCATATTTGTTGGTGACATTTAGGGGTTTGTTATGTTTTGTAAGTAGCAATTCTACTTTTGTTGTTTTCTCTTGAAGAATCAAAATTGAACAGTTTCAAGAGCAGCTGTTGTTCTGACTTGTGTTCTTTGCAGGAATACATGGTTTATAGGAAACATACCTACATGAGACTGGATGGATCTTCAAAGATTTCTGAACGAAGGGACATGGTAGCAGATTTTCAGAACAGGTAACACTATTTACAAGGTCTTTCTGTGCTAAGTTGTGTGTACGTAGAGAATCAGTAGAAGATGTAATGGAGGTAAATGAAATTTCCACTTAAATTATCTTTCCTCGTATCAAATGGGCCTCATTTATCTGAAACAGTTTCTAGGTCATTTGCTGACCAGGAGTCACTGGTGTTGATATTGAACCCATCTGTATTTACGAATTTGTCATCTGTGAAACAGTATTGGAAGCAATTTTAGTGCATCCACCTATTGTGTTTCCTGCCATTCCAAATCTGCTTATGAAGAAGCTCAGCAGAAAGGCAGCAAGTGCTCTGACAGTTGACACTGTGAAGATGAGATTGAAAATCTTGCCTATGCTAGAGCTTTGGAAGTGACCTAGTTTTCTGCTAAACAAACCAATTAAGCATGTTTTATTAAGATAATCTGGTGCCAGCAAGTCTAACCTTTGAGGCTGGTAGGACCACGTTCACCAAAGGCAACTGGTTTGTCATCGATTTTCGTAGTATCTGAGGAACCCCAAGGAATATAAATGTAACACAGGTAGGGCAAACTGAAAATGCCCCACAGTGGGAAGGACAGCATGTGTGCACTGGTAATGGAGTTTACTTACAAACGGGGTGTTTCAAAGGACTTAAGTCAGAGTGAAATGAGTGACTCTTGCTTCTGTCTGGTATCTCTCTCTGCCCTGGTGAGGCAGCATCTGGAATATTGTGTCCAGTTCTGGGCCCCTCAGTTCAAGAAGGACAGGGAACTGCTTGAGAGAGTCCAGCGCAGCCACGGAGGTGATAAAGGGAGTGGAACATCTCCCTTATGAGGAAAGGCTGAAGGAGCTGGGTCTCTTTAGCTTGGAGAAGAGGAGGCTGAGGGATGAGCTTATTAATGTTTATAAATATGCAAAGGGTGAGTGTCAGGAGGACGGAGCCAGGCTCTTCTCAATGATGTCCAATGACAGGACAAGGGGCAATGGGTACAAGCTGGAACACAGGAGGTTCCACAAAAACAGTAGGAAAAACTTCTTTCCTGTGAGGGTGACAGAGCCCTGGCACAGGCTGTCCAGGGAGGGTGTGGAGTCTCCTTCTCTGGAGACATTCCAAACCCACCTGGACGTGTCCCCGTGCAATCTACTGAGGGTGATCCTGCTCTAACAGCGGGGCTGGACTAGATGATGTTCTGAGGTCCCTTCCAACCCCGAGCATTCTGTGATTCTGTGATCTGATCATTAGTACTGTCTACATAGTCATCCTTGTCACATTTTATGGTCATTCACAACTGAAGTTTTATATGACTATCTTGAGATGAATCAGTTTGTCCTCATTTTGCTGATTAGAAAAGTGGACAAAAGAGATTAGAACTTTTACTTTGAATCAGCAACACGACCCGGACTGGAATTGGGGAATCTTAGACTGAAGGACTTCTGTTTATGCCAGTGGACCCTTGTCGTTTTCTAATGTACCTCTGTATTTGTCAGCTTGCCTTTATATTAAGATTTTTTTTTCCCCCCCAAGGATTTTTTTGTTCTGTTCAAAGCACCAAATTTAGAACAAAACTGACATCTACATAATTTGACTGTTTATTTTCCTTACTTTGTCAGCTGAACTTTAAGGCAATCCTTTTTTAACATCGATCAGTTCTGTGAAACAATAAATTGTTCTTTGTCTCTACGAAATCCTAATTTCCAATGTGGGCAAAATAAACAAAGCCTGGTTTGTTTTGATAGAGATAAATAAGCTGCTATTGCAAAGTAAATGTTTGCATGTTCTGACAGTCCTGATTTGTAGATTAATTTCTCTCATTCATATGTTCTTTTTTTCTTGACTATGAAGAGCACAAAATGTTCTGAAGTGTTCAAGTAATAGAAACAGCTCGGATGGCTTTATATGGGTCAGAAATTTTACTTCTGTGGTTATTTTTTGTTCATCTTTCACAAAATAAAGAGGACTTTAATCTCTTTCCTTTACAGGAATGATATTTTTGTGTTCCTGTTAAGCACAAGAGCTGGAGGCTTGGGCATTAACCTTACAGCTGCAGATACGGTAGGTGAAATTCGGTAAAGTAATACCAAATAAAAAATCTGCTTACTGATGTTTAATTTCCAGTATAAATATTTCTTTGCTTATCCTGCCTCTTATGCCTCGAACCACTGTTTTTCCCAAGCTGCTCATCTCCGGCCTCCTAATCTCACGATTTATGTAGGGAGTGGAGCATCTCCCTTATGAGGAAAGGCTGAGGGAGCTGGGTCTCTTTAGTTTGGAGAAGAGGAGACTGGGGGTGACCTAATTAATGGTTATAAATATGTAAGGGGTGAGTGTCACGAGGATGGAGCCAGGCTCTTCTTGGTGACAACCAATGGTAGGACGAGGGGTAATGGGTTTAAACTGGAACACAAGAGGTTCCACCTAAATTTGAGAAGACACTTCTTCTCAGTAAGGGTGACAGAGCCCTGGCACAGGCTGCCCAGGGAGGTGGTGGAGTCTCCTTCTCTGGAGACATTCAAAACCCGCCTGGATGCCTTCCTGTGTAACATCGTCTAGGTGTTCCTACTCCGGCGGGGGGATTGGACTAGATGATCTTTTGAGGTTCCTTCCAGTCCCTAACATTCTGTGATTCTGTGAAAATTGGTCTTCTGTGTGGAAGCTGGCCATGCTGTTGAATATTTTATGTTTAGCCATGCTGTTGAATATTTTTTAATGCCGCCATTATTTTGTTGTTGTTGTTCATATTTACAATATAGAATCATAGAATCATTTAGGTTGAAAAAGAACTTTTAAGATCATTGAGTCGAACCATTAATGTAGCATTGCAAAGTCCACCACTAAACCATGTCCCTAAGTACCACATCTACATGTCTTTTAAATACCTCCAGGGCTGGTGACTCAACCACTTCCTTGGGCAGCCTGTTCCAATGTTTGAGAGTCTTTTCAGTGACTAAATTTGTCATCATCTCCAATCTAAACCTCCCCTGATGCAACCTGAGGCCATTTCCTCTTGTCCTGTTGCTCGTTACTTAGGAGAAGAGACTGACCCCCACCTTGCTGCTGCCTCCTGTCAGGGAGTTGTAGAGAGTGACAAGGTCTCCTGTGAGCCTCCCCTTCTCCAGGCTAAACAACCCCAGTTCCCCCAGTCACTCCTTAAAAGACATGTTCACCAGATCTTTCACCAGCTTCGTTGCCCTTCTCTGGATACACTCCAGCACCTCAATGTCTTTCTTGTCGTGAGGGGCCCAAAACTGAACACAGGATTCGAGGTGCGGCCTCACCAGTGCCGAGTACAGGGGACAATCACTGCCCTGGGTCCTGCTGGCCACACTATTCCTGATACAGGCCAGGATGCTATTGGCCTTCTTGGCCACCTGAGCACACTGCTGGCTCATCTTCAGCCAGCTGTTGACCAACACCCCCAGGTCCTTCTCTGCCGGGCAGCACTGCAGCCACTCCTCCCCAAGCCTGTAGTGCTGCCGGGGGTTGCTATGACCCAGGTGCAGGACTCAACACTTGGCCTTGTTGACCATCATGGATCCAGCCTGTTCACGTACCCCTACAGAGGCTCTGTACTGTCCAGCAGATCAACACTCCCATCCAGCTTTGTGTCACCTGCAAACTTACTGAGGGTGCACTTGATCCCCTTGTTCAGATCGTCGATAAAGGTATTAAACAGTACTGAGTCCTGGGGAGCACCACTCGTGACCACCCACCAGCTGGATTTCACTCCATTCACCGCCGCTCTCTGGGCCCAGCTCCCAGCCAGTTTCTCACCCAGTGAAGGGAGTGCCTGTCTGAGCCGTGAGCAGCCAGTTTCTCTGGGTGAACACTGTGGGAAATGGTGTCAAAGGCTTTACTAAAATCTGGGTAGACAACATCCACGGCCTTTCCCTCATCCACTAAGCAGGTCACCTTGCCATGGAAGGAAAGCAGGTTAGTCAAGCAAGGATGTACCTCTCATAAGCCCATGCTCACTGGCCTTGATCACCTGGTTGTCCTGTACGTGCCGCGTGATGATGCTCTAAATGTGTGGGTTTATTTAATCTTTTGTGTTCTGGTTCTCTTTCACAGGTAATTTTCTATGACAGTGATTGGAACCCAACAGTAGACCAGCAAGCCATGGACCGGGCGCACCGGTTGGGTCAAACGAAACAAGTCACTGTGTACCGATTGATCTGTAAAGGCACCATTGAGGAGCGCATCTTACAAAGGGCTAAGGAAAAGAGTGAGGTAGGAATGAAGAAATCCTCTGGAACAAGAAGTTACAGAAATGGTATCAGAAAAAATGTGTCAAAAGGAATAAAGAAACAGAAAAAGTATCTGTAGGGAGACAGAAGAGAAGCCAAAAGGGAATGTCTCTTCAGATAAACAAATCTATGTCCCTAAGAGCAGCGTTACGGCCGCATTATATGAACTAGGAGGAAGTTCATTTTTTACGCTATGACTTGATGGAAACTATTTCTTATGATGCAGTGAAACTACTCGGGCTTCTTTAAGACTAGAGCTTCTGTCTTTGCTGTGTCAGGGCTATGGATTCCTCTCACATTACAGTCTTATACCACAGCTGATTTTTTTTTTAAAGAAATTTGGAAGATAATCAAATGAAAATTATTTGAAGTGTCAGGGTTGCCAGAAGAGTTCAGTGTCCTGTGGCGTCAAACAGTAAATGTATTAGAAACTTTAAACCTCATGACACTTTATTGGCAAGAAAAAAATAAAGCAGATTCACTTTGTTTGGTAGCAGTAGGTATACTGTATACAACATTCAGGTATTTTGTGTATTCGGGGTTTCTGTTAGCTTTTGTCTTTCTTAGATGCTGGTCATGGTGCTGCAGCAACTGAAGCATCTCCAGCTGAATGCATTCACAGTTCCTTTGTTTGAACTCACCCATTTTCTCTAGGATACTGCACTAGAGTCACTTGATACTGACCTGAAAATGTAGGGATTTTTATGCTGGGGATACAGATCATCAAAATTGGCTCATGCTTAAGTTACATGTTTAAGTTACAACTCTTTGTTGTTTGTTTGGGGGTTTTTGTGGGGTTTTTAATAGAGTTACACTAGTAGAGGTTGAGTGAATTGCTTAAACTCAAGCAATCACCACTCATGTGGAGATGTGGTTTTTAGATAAGGAGACTAAAAATGTTGTACCTTTTAAGAATATCATCTCTGTGATCCTCTGTGCAGAATACTTGAAAAATGGGACTAGTAATTTATACCTGGCAGAAGCACTACTGTATTTTTTTCTTTTTGTTCTGCAGTATACTAATACTATTATAACTTGGGTTTTTTTGTTACACAGTGGTTTGGAAGAAGTGCAGCTTTGCACAAGGGATGGCAATTTTCTGCTTTTTAGCTCGATTGCTTCGCATAATTTATGCTCTTGATTAAACTCTTAATAAATCTTTCCTGAAATTTTGCTACTAACTTTGGTATGATAGAGAAGTTGAGTCAGTTCTGACTTACACAGATGTGCTGGCATCTTTTCTTGGCTGGCTTTCCGTGAAGAGTAGTAAGAACTGTTCATGGCTGCTTTGAGTAATTTTTCCTTTTTTTTCTCTCTCGTTTTTCTTTTCCTTCTAGATCCAACGAATGGTGATTTCAGGTGGCAATTTCAAGCCTGACACCTTGAAGCCCAAAGAGGTGGTCAGCCTTCTGCTGGATGATGAGGAACTGGAAAAGAAATGTATGTGAAAATCATTTTGCAGCATCTTCCTCATCTTCCACTTCTCTAGTTTATGAAGTCTGTGGGTTTATCGCTACAAACACATGTATTGCTGATAACAACTTCTGTTTCCTGGCTCTTTTTGTATTGCCAGTTCTTGTTAGTACAAACTGGTTTCATATCACTGCTGAGCTGAAAGATCAAGTTGTGCAAGAGAGACATGATGATGTGATGCAGTTTTTACTGGCACTCATTCAGGATCGTTACATTGTTCCTGAATGACAAAGCTTTAGCAAGAATTATGTAGGTCATGACAAAAAAAATATTAGTAAAAATGCTGTGTATTTCATCATACTTTTGAGGCTCTATTAGAGGTATGCACTTTGATGTTGCTTGAAAGAAGAATTTCACTGTAAGACTAGTAATTTGGATATTAATTGTTCTAACACAGTAGTGTTTTTAGTGTGGTTTTGTTTAAATTCAGCTGACTTCTTCACAGTTCTGCTAGAACTAGAATTTCTTAAAAGATTCACGAAAGGCTATAAAATACCTTTCTCCTGGTGATAACTTTATTTTTTTTTTCTGACAGTGCGTCAGCGTCAGGAAGAGAAGCGACAGCAAGAAGAAACAAATCGTGTGAAGGAACGTAAACGTAAAAGGGAAAAATACGCTGAAAAGGTAATTTGATGCAGAGAGATTGCCTGTGTCAGTGATGGAGCCGGAAGAGCTTCAGACTCACTGTTTGTGTGGTGTGAAAATGTTTTATGCAAAGGCGGCCTAATGAGTAAATCCTTCTTCCCTTCACCATGGAACACCCGTGGCACTTCCTTACACAGAAGAGGGATATTACAAAATGCGTAATGCATAGTTACCTGTATTTTAGTATCATGAGCAACTTGAAAAATAAGGAAATACTGCATACCCAAACAACACCGTAAATCACCAGCAGTGTGCAAACAACAATTTGAGGACTCGTGCTTGGAAAAAACACAAACCTCTCAACTGGTCATTCTGTGACATATAAAATGGTGACTTAATCAAGATTTTGTTCTGCAAAGACAAAAAGGGAATGTCAGGAAAGCGTCAAACACAGATAAACCCCGTAGAGCTGTGTGTCTTCTGGGGAACAAGGGAAGATCAGTTTGTTTAAAAAAAATCACTAAAACTAGTTCATGAAAATTCTGAACTTTTGAGACAGGGAGGCTTTGCGTTACTTAATTGGAATTCTGTGTAATGGTAAAGAATTTCAAGCTTACTCCAAAAGGTAATGGAAATCAAAGTAAATCTGTAAGAGAACTTGCCATTATTTTATGAAGAAAAAAACCCAAACCCTACTTAAATCTGAAGAAGGAGCCTTTAAGGGATCTGTTATTCTGTCCTTTGCAAACTGGTTCTGGGACATGGCATTTCTCAAGTTGTAATACTGGGTTACATGTTGAGATTTTGGGCTACTTATTCCCTTTCTTCTGTTTTTTTGCTGTTTTCATTCCTGGTATTGTTTTATTTATTTCAGAAGAAAAAGGAGGATGAATTGGATGGGAAGAGAAAGAAAGAGGGCATGAACCTTGTGATCCCATTTGTTCCCTCAGCGGATAACTCCAACCTGTCTGCCGATGGGGACGACTCCTTCATTAGTGTAGACTCTGCCATGCCCAGCCCCTTCAGTGAGGTGAGGCTCGCTGCTGCCTTCAGCTACAAACTGTCTCCCTGGTGGCATTACATCTTGTAGGATTCTCCCTTTTGGTTCTGTTAGCCAGCGTAGAACTTGGAGTATGTGAGGAAGTGAGGTGTCTTAAAGGTGAACTATGGAAATGAAAATTATTTGTTGAAAGCGTAAGAGCTGCTAGTAAGCTGCCTTACAGCTCCCTGTGTTGCTTGACATTCCCCTCTTCATTCACTCTGTGCCTCCATTTCTTACAGCATATTCATGCCCTGACTCTTCTCCCTTTCAGCCCCTGAATTTTTCCATTCCTGCCTGCAGTCCCACTTAGTCTTTTCCTATTTTTTCTCCCTTTTTCCTGCCTTTGTCATGCTTATGTATATAACTGTGTGCCTTCCTCCATACCAATTCCTTCCATAGCAAGAAAAGTCTCTTTCTGCTCCTGAACCAAACTGTATCCCTCAAATAGCTCCTTGACATTCAGTTTCTTTGTAAGTACTCCTCGATCGTGTCATCTACATCTCCTTCTCTGCTTCCTTCCTTGCTGCTGATTCTGAATTAGTCTGTTTATTTCTTTGGAATTTAAATGATAAATTCACATCTTGTTTTCCTGCTTTGTTTTGTAAAGAACTGCAAACTGGTTTTGGCAGCAAATGTATTTTATTCTGTACTGTGCTGATAAAGATTCCTATGTTGCATTGTTCCCTTAATGACTGAGATTGTTATTAGTAGTTAATTATTAGTAGTTTATTAGTGTTAGTAGTAGCAGTAGGTCAAGAATCCTATTGCTTTCTCTCTTGCAGTTGAAGATGCACAGCTGAACAGCAGTTTTCTTAAATCTCTGCTGCAACCAGTAGTCTCCTGTTTCTTAACATCTGTTTTCACTAATTGAAATTAAGTAACTCCTGGAGCTCTTTACTACTACTCAGTGTGTCAATAGCATGTGGTGTGATTAGGCAGACTGTGTATTGTAGAGAAAAATGAAAGAGAACAGAGGAAGTATCAACCAACTTTCTGTCTTTTAAAGATCTTACTGTTTGTGCCCTTCCCTTTCACAACCTGAGAAGTGAACGGCGTTTTTTCTCTGTCACGTGTAGATATCCATTAACAGTGAATTACACATGGGCTCTATCCCCCCTGATGAGAGCAGCAGTGATATGCTCGTGATTGTGGACGATCCGGCTTCCTCAGCACCTCAGTCAAGGGCAACGAACTCTCCTGCTTCCATTACTGGCTCCGTGTCAGATACCGTGAATGGTCAGTATTTTTGCCTTGACTTACTAATAACATTGATTAAACAGTGACTTTTGTATGACTAGGTGATAACGTTTTCTGTGTTTTAACAAGAGTATATGCATAGCTGGAGGAAAAAAGTTGCCTTTTAATAGGGAAATTACTTCTGATTTTATAGGAAATCTGTTTGTACTCCATCATTCACCATACTTTGTTCTTTTCTGTGTTAGTTACTCTTAAAAGTGTTGTCCTTTGTTCCTGTGTTACAGCGGGCTCACCTTCTGTTACGTGCATATTAACAAATTGCAGACAACCACGGAACTATTAATCTCTAAGCTTCTCCTTGAGTTTGATATTGGGCTGATAATCAATTGTCTATTTCCAGTGGGTGATTGGAGCAGCTGTAATTTTAAATAATGGCAAATGTGTTGAATGCCATAGTTTTCTACACTGATGTAAGCAGAGCCATAGTTCTTGACAAGTTTCTTTTAGAGGTAGCAAATAGATAAAACTTTTTATCTATCTTCAAGTAAGAAAATGCTCCATCCTGAAGCAGAACCTTGAATCCTCCACCTGTTTGTAGATTGGTTTCATTATAATAATGATGACAGTTGTAGTTTGGAAGATGTGGTTAATGAAGAGGGAAGCTTCATATATTCAATTTCTTTTCATTGAATCACTATGTGCTAACAGTGTCCATATTAATGTAATTGAAAAATATCAGTTAACAGGAACAGTATTAACGTAAGTGGTAGCTAGTTACGATGTTATATTGATTGTGAGTCACCTAAAATACTAGAGCAGTTATTGTTTTAACATTCTTTTCTTGTGAAGGTGTTTCAGTGCAAGATATGTCTCTCACTGGGAGAGGCCAGTCAAGTCGAAGCCGGGGTCGGCCTAAAGGTTCAGGCGGCGCAACAAAAGGTGGCACTGGGAAAGGCAGGAGCCGGAAATCCATAGCGGGAAGCGCGGCCGCGATGGCAGGAGCCCAAGCCGGGGCAGCGGCAGGCTCCCCAAAGCCGGGGCAGCGGCAGCCTCCGCAGCGGCGTACGCAGCGTATGGGTACAATGTCTCTAAAGGTATGTGGGGAGGGGAGGCAGCGGACTGCCCAGAGCAGAATCAGTCACACGAGATTGAGTGATTGTTGTTTACTGCCTGACAAAGAAAAAAAACAAACAAAAAGATAAAAAGCATTGTGTTGTTGGTATTGCCCACCCGTTATATTTTGAGATCCAAGGCAATATGCAATGGGACGGGGTGATGGTGGGAGAAGATAGAGGTTTCACCACAGATGACTTTGAGAGGCCAGTCCTGCAGAAGTTTCGACTGCCCTTTCAGTTATCTCATACCAAATATTTTTCCTCCTGTTTTTTATTCTGGTGTACAGACAAATCAGACAGTGTTGTTTATCCCATGGCTATGGCTGTGGCTTTCCTGCATTGCTGTCACATTGAGGCTACAGCGTCAGATTCCAAAAGCTGCTAAAATGATTGTAATGGAGCTTCAGCTTTACACCAGCTGCAGGTGGCCTAGGGTACAACTGCAAGATATTTTCTACCTTAAGGACATCCCTCTTCATTAAGCTTTCATAAATCATGAATACAGGTGGTCTTAGGACTGATTGATAGTATATTGTTTGTTGCTGAAGAGCCACAAGTAGAATAACATGCTGACATCGAATTTGATTCTTTTTCCCATTGCTAGGCATGTCTGCAAGCAGCCCTCTGCAAACAGCAATTATTCGGCCTTCCGGACTTGCGGATTTTGGACCTTCAAGCGCCTCTTCTCCCTTGAGCTCCCCTTTAAGCAAAGGAAACAGTGTTTGTGGGACCCCCAAAAGCTTAAACTTGACCAGCAGTCTCATATCAGAAGCTCCGATGAGGAAGCAAAGCAAAGGTGCCCACACCTCAGGTGGTCGGTAGCAATTTGGAACCCCCCAAAGCTTGTCTGAACTGCGATGGCTTTCAGAGTAGACCACCTGGCCGGTGGAAGGCATGCGGACGAATGCCTTGCTGCTGCCCAGCACGTGTGTGGAAAGAAAATCAAAGCACAACGGGAGCGGGTGGTTTACGTGAGCACTTTGATTATGTGTATTCCAAAAAAATTACTTTGCAGACACTGCAAGCAGGAGGGAAGGGAGTCTGGGGGAACTGGGAGAGCGTCAGCTTGTGTTTTACCGACGCATCTGACAAAGATTCCCAAGTAAGCATCCAGCTACTCCTTGCAGCATCCTGCAGCTGTGTGTCCTTCAAGTCACACCAACATACTTTCTTGTAGCTTGAGCTGGAACCCAGCGTTAGGTTTATCCTAATCGGTACCTGAGCCCCAGGAGTATCCTGTAGAGTCACAAGACATTTCCGTACTGGTCAGTGTACGTGCGGGGTTAATTGGGGGGGGCTAAGCTGAACCTGATGTATGATCAAAAAAAATCTTCGATTCTTCTAGTGTGGGCCTCGGGGTCCTTTAAAGGATTAAAATGCAAAGTGAGGTGTCTCAGGTGGGTTCCAGGGAGTGGAATCTTTTCAGCAGCATTTGTCAGGAAGAGACCCGGAGACACGGAACACAGAGAGCCCTCGCAGGCCTAGCAAGAGCGGCAGAGCTGCCTCTGCGTCACGCAGTGGAAGAAGCCATGAGTTGGCAGTTTGGTTTGTATTTCAGAGTTCGCATCAGCACAGAGACTCACTGCGTTCAGATATCTCTCGCTTCCAAGGCATGTGGAACTCTTCAAAAGCTTAGGAACAAAGTAAGGCTCTTATTTGTACGAATCTCAAGAAGAGGGAAAGCTGAAGGGCCGAGGAAGAGTTTGCTGCTGCTCCTCTCGCCGTGCCGTAGCCCAGCGCGGTTGTGTGGCTTGCGGTGCTGCGAGGGGAGCAACAGAAACAGTCCCGAGAGAGGGAGAGAGCTGTGCCATTCCCCCTCCAGCCAGATTCTGGGGAGAAAATTATCTCACATCCCAGCCACCTGTCCACCATCCTTCCGGTGTGTTTCCCCTTCACCTTTGTGATCATCCCACACAGTAGCTTGGTTGAGGTTTCTGCGGGGTCCCGCAGGGCTTGTCCGAGGCAGCGCTGCCCACACCCACCTGTCTCCTCATTCTCTGGATGCTCCTTCCCGGTTCTCGATGCACAACCCCCAGCCCTGCCCGCCGTAGCCCCTTGCTTTGCTGGAAGCTTTGTCTGCATTGCACTGAGATTGAGGCGTGGGGCAGTTCTTCTGTCCGACACGTTGAATTAAAAGGCTGTTCTGCCAGGGCACTTTCACCCCTTGAGAGAGAAGCAAGTTGAGTTGCAGGTCTGGGCTGTGACAGCGGAAGATGACTTTTTTATTATTATTATTATTATAATTATTTTTTTTCCAACCCCAAATCCTTTGCCTGGCGTCCTACAGTGTGGAGCGAGTGCTTCCTGTTGGCTCTGCCTCTAATTTGCACACCTGAAAATAGCAGAACTGAGCTTAGTTAGATTGATTTTTAAACAGATTTGCAGGGGATAATTGAGGGGGAGGCAGTGTTTAATTAACTCACTAAGACTTCCCCCTTCCCCTCCTATTCACATGTATATATGATATTTAGAGGGAATCAGACAAATGCCAAGCCTTTTTTCTCTTTGAATGTGCTGTCTATTTTTATAACTGAACCTGTACATATGTATAAAGAGAGACACATCTTTCTTTTACTAACTGGAGAAGAAAATCTTAAATAAAATTGAGTGAGATAATTTTATGTAAATAAGTGTCTTTGTGGTTTTTTTATGCATCTAGCTCTATGAATGAGAGGATTAGGGAAGAGAGCACAGAGGGTGCACATCTGGAAATGCATCTGGAGACATATGCTGCTCAGTGTGACGCTCCTCTTCAGAGTATCGTGTTTGTAACCTTTTCCAGTTACAACTGTACGCTTAGCACACGTCTGTACTCGCTGACTAACTCGTAATCTGTTTCGGAGTAGGTGTGCAGCAGGTCACAAGAAATCAGAAGCAAGTATAATGTGAGTAATTATGTAGGACCTGAACTACAATGTTTGAATTCAATACAGTTGTTCTTTTTGGGCTATCATTCTCTACGTTTTTTTCCTTTTTTTTTTAGTGGGAGTTGAAAGGACTTTTGTGTGTGCAGGCTTGATTTTCAAACTGCTAGACAGTTGCATTGATTTGTAATTCAGAGTGGAGAGGGAAAAGAAATACTTGTTACTTGAAAAGGTTTCAGAAATGTACTATGCACTGTTGCACGCTATACTTTTGGAAGATTAAATTACTGATATTTTTAAAACTTACAGAAGTGCATTTAGTGTCATTTAAAATTCAAAAGAGATAAAAAATGATATCAAGTTGTGGCAAAAGTGGCAGCCTGCCTGCTTGCAAAACTTGCATCAGGCTGACAAATTCAGGAAGATGTAGTGCTGCGGTAAAGTAAATGAACTGCTCAATCACATCCAGCTCCATTTCTGCATAAAGTTAAATTTAATCAGATGCATCCTTTGTATTCTGCATTATGGAAGAACTGAGATTCTGTGATCTCAAGGGATTGGGAGGAATTCTTGTGGTGACTGTCCTAACTTCGTGATTTGGGGAAGGAAGTAGCGCTGGGAAGACTGGGAGGTTTTTTTAAGGCAGTGGAGGTTTGTGATCAACGCGGAAGCTTGGTCCTTGGCAGCTGAGATCTGAGCATCTTTTTGCTCCGACTGTGTGTTGTGCACTTGTCTTACAGGTTAATGGCAAAGCAGGTGACTTATTCCTGAGAGAGATCAGGGTATTTGCTAGCGGCAGAAACAGAATATGGAATGAACTGAGTTTGTGTTTTAAGCTGGAATGATGAAATAGATACCATTATGTTTTGGGGGATGTTGGGAATGCTGTGTATTCCTCATGCTATTTGATTATGGCGCTTTACCTGTTAACTACAAAACTGTTAGATACAGTTCACTGATTAATAGCACTGTTGAAGACATCTGAGAAGTTAGGACTAAGAGGTGCTGTCATGTCCCGCCTTTACAAACCAGCCTACAAGGGTTGGTTTTTTTTAGCAGGAGACCTAGTTCTTCCCACTGCCCTGCATGGTCAACGAAGTCTTACCAGGCAGTGCCAAAAATTTAGTTAAAGACCAAAAACTGCAGTTGCGGTGTGCCTTTGGAAGAAAGTAATAGTGACTGAAAACCATTGCCTTCTCTCACAAAATATTGCAGGGCAGTTAAGGGTAGGAGAAAGCATTTTTCTTCTCACCTCTAATGCCAAATTTAACCCTTAAGCATGTGGAGAGGACATAGAGCCGGGCCACTGATAAAAAGTACCATTATGAGCCCCGCGGCAGTTTGCCCTTCATCTTCTTGCTGGATGTGGTTAATCGTGAGCCAAATGATGCATCAGAGAAGTGAGAGAAAAACCTTTCCTTGCTCAGCACAGACAGGTTGTGAAAGCTAAGATGTGTGGTTATGATGTTATAGAAATTCCAATATCCTCTCAGCTCTTCTTCAAAACCACATGTATCTGACAGACAGAGACTTGTATTGCACTGTCCTCAGAAAGTCTTCTGTTTAGCTGTGCAGTCATGGCACAGCCCCTACCACGCAAACTCTTGCCCCTTCTCAAAAATGGTTTGGTTCCTGGGCTTCATGATGTCTTCAGAACTCTGTTTTTAATTATTTTGTGGTCAACTGGAGCCCACTTAATCTAAATTGGAGGCAGATTAATTAGCCGGCAAGCCATTTTCTCTTTCTATCGTGGGTCAAGTCTGTTGTTCTCCTCATTTAGCCAGCCACTAGATCGCCTCTTCCTATTCTGCAAAGCCATCAAAAGGTTACTGCAGGGGGGTTTTCACCTAGAACTGCTTAAATTAGTGAGGATGTTAATATTGCACAACCCAAATGTAGTGTTATTTCTGTGCCTTCTGCCCTCTCTGTTTCACGCTTTCCTCAGCACAGTGTACCTGCTCTTTGCTGTCTCATGTTCCGTTTGTGGAAAGCCTTCTGTCTGCCTAGGGCTGTCTCTTGCTTTATTCCCGTAGTCCCACAGTGTTTCCTTCAGCAGCATCTCCCAGCGGGGGAAGCACGCGCAGCTCAGTGGGAAAAGCTCCGTGCAGAAGGAATAGCAGCACCACTTCGATCCGTAGCTCAGGAACAGCCGAGTCGCAGCTGGGAGGAGGAAGAGCGCGACTGATAAAATCACTCGCGGGCAGGATGTGGATCAATGTAATTTGGGAAATGCTGCCCTGTGACCACTGTGCTCCCAGTGCTCACCTCCGACACTCGGTGGAGTGATCTCACCTGCTTCTGCTCCCAGGTATACTTACAGGCTCCTCAGCTTCTCACTCTGCTTCTGTCTTTCTTGTGCATTGAGTGTTCAGTCTGAAACACACGTTGTAGCTCCCAGGGAGCCTTACAGGCGTGCCTTAAGCTCCCCTTCCTGCTCAAGAAGGGATGGAGATGCGATCTCTGCTCTCCTTCAGAAATTTCCAGTCAAGTGGCCAGAAGAAAATTTGTAGCTCACTACCCAAAGGGATGCTGCTTGCACGTGAAGTGTAACTGAGACATACGTACTAAAATAAAGGTAATCACATCTTACGCTCTTAGGTGTCAGCACTCGCTAAATTGTGAAGGATTTTTTTTTTGATTCACAGCCTGCACCAGCTGCACAGCAGTGAATGCGAGAGGGGAAGGGGCGATTCATCCTGCCTCTCCGGAGCGTCGTTACCGGGATGATGCAGATGGCCCAGCCCTCAGATTCAACCGGCAGGTCTGTATTTGTAAACAAGTCTTTATTCCAGCACTTGGATTAGCCTTGGCTCCTCTGAAAAGCCTGCAACAAATGCCTTTTGAAACACAGAAATGCATGATGAGATGAGTTGGGTTTCCTCCAGCTTCACCCTCCTCTTAGCTCCTGTGTCTTCCCTCAGGAAAGTGAAGTTACTCCAAAGTTAATGGGTCTTCCAG